TTTGTCGCAAAATTATGAATGTTTTTTATAATTTTTAGACAGGTGAACTGTTGCAAAAGCACCGGTATACACAAGTATATTTAGAGCAGTACTACCAATAGCTTAATGGTTAGCACGTTGGGGATATAAAAGTATAAAAAAAAAAAAAAGCGCATTCACGTTGGCGACATGGGTTCAATCCTCCTTGTGACCAAAATTTTGAATCTCTTTTCAGCTCGATTTTACGTGGGTTTCTTTTCCTAAAACGGACGGAAGACCTCTCGTTGCTCGCAACGAGATCGTATCTAGTTATTATTATTTTTTTCTTCTTCTTCCTGGACGTGTTGTTTTACTTTTTGTCCGGGAATGATCTTGTAAACTGTTCGTCCGATGTAGGTAAAACCTTTTTAGGGTTAGTAGACATGTTATGTAGATTTGCGGAATCAAGGTCATTTTGCACGCACGTGCTTGCAAGAGCGTGCACGTGCAACACGTGAAATGACCAATATAATAGATATAGCCACAACTTTTCTTTTTTTAGATGAAATGCTTTGAAACTCATAATGTGAGGATATATTAGTAGTATAGACATGACGACATGATGAAAATAGCAAGATCTCACGCGCATGCACGTGCACTTCGCTCTGATTGGCTGCAACTAAAGTCTCAATATCTTTCTTGTTTTTTGACGAAATCCTTTGAAATTTTGAACATAGCCATGCATTAAGATATCCTACAACATGAAATAAAGCAATTATCATGAAAACACGTGCATGCACGTGCGCTGCAATCTGATTGGCTGAAACTTTAAACAGCTATAACTCCCTTGGTGTTCAACCAAACAGGATGGGATTTGGAATATAGATAGATATAATGGACTTCTACAAGTAGGTATGGTCACCATGCACATGCATACACGTGCGTGTACATGTGCTGCAATCTGATTGGCTGAAACTTTAAACAGCTATAACTCCCTTAGTTTTCACCCAAACGGAGTGGAATTTAGAACATAGATAGATGTAATGGACTTCTACAAGAAGGTATGGTCACCATGCTCATGTATGCACGGGCATGCACGTGAAATGAGTAAAATCAAACATACACTTGAATGAGCGTATTTTTAAAATAATTTTGGATTAAATACTTTAATATTCAGTGTATTAAAAATATAGATTGTGTAGACAAGATGATATGGTCATGGCGCAAATGCATTCACATGTGCACCCGTGCAATGCTAAAGTTTAAATGATTTTTGTACACCTCTTTGTAAATGTTGTTAAAATCTCAGATGCATAGAGTTTGTCTTATTTAATGAAGCTTACAGGGAATATGACACCAAAAGGGAGTTGGGGAGCGTTTGGGGAACATCTGTAACGGTCCCCGTTACAATTAGCACTAGTTCAGTTAGTATTTAGCTCAGTTTTGAAGAAAGTATTTATATTTTTACTCAACTTCATATGCTGATACACACTTTTGAGAGCTATCCAAACCTTAGTGTAGAACAGATGCTCTAACCACTGTGCCACACGGGCGACCTTCAGTTTTGAAGAATCCATTCAAGACATTTTTATCAAACTTTAGTATCCTGATACATTTTGATCTTGCACTTTCCTGTGACATTGACCTCACTTGTCTTTAATCTGCATTTTTCTTAGTATTAAAGAAACCATTTCAGATATTTTTATGTAAGCTTATGCATATATGCATTATCTGAAGGGAATTTTTTAATCTATATCCATTTTTAAGATTTCAATTTTTAAGAAACTATTCAAGATATTCTCAACAAATGTCATACACTTATACAGATTTAATGTTGCATTATTTACTAATAAACACTCGGCGGGGCATTCATGTCCTATAGATATATTTCTAGTTAAATCGTTATGTAAATCATAGTTTTGAACCTAATAAATTCTTTCGATTCGATATATGTTCAGAAAAAAATTTGCAGAACATATCCAGTCTTTTGGACGAGTCAATGTTACTGACAGAGAAACTTTAAATTCTAACCGTATTTGTACCAGTGAAGCATTGCTGATATAATGCATGGTGGGGCATGTCCTTGACTCAACTTCAAGGTCACTAAAGATAAAATGTTTTGGGTGCATGTATGGACTAAAAGAATATCTAAAAAACATACGTAAACTTTTCCAGTTGGTAACACACAGATTATGTATTTTTATAAAAGAGTTTGTCATTGCTTGTCGCAAGGTCATTTAGAAAGTTCAAGGTCATGCACAGAGCATTCCTTTACAGTCTTTTTCCTGGCGAAACATTGTAAGTTGCTTCCTTAACAAGCCTTTAGGTTGCTTACTAACATAACTTTAGAATTGTTTGACCTAGACTCAAGGTTACGTCTTCCTTTCCGTAGCTCCAACGGAAGACCTATTCGTTGCTTTGCAACGAGCTCGGCTCTAGTTTGAATTACTTTTTCAATTCGAACTTCTGTGATCAATTTAATTAGTACTAGTTAGATGCCTTGGGATTTAAAAAGAAATCAAATGATGCAGAGTTTGGGGAAAAAAAATCGTGAGAACTGTGAATTGGCAGAAAAATTTAAGTTTTGACTGAAAGGAAAATTCAGTAAAAAGAATGCAAATTGATGCTTTAAAGAAAAGAATCTTTAAAGAATGGAGGCGTACAAGACGAGGAACAATCCCCCGCTCTGAAAAAAGACATTTCTCAATTCTAAAAGTTATATTAATTTTTTCAAAATTATGTGGTTTATAGTGTTTTTTGATTTATTATGTGATGTGTTCATTTTAATAAATCTAAACCTTTACCTTTTGTCATGTTGTGTATAAATCATCTTTTAAACATTTAATTCTGTTTTTCATTGTTTTGATATTTTATTAATAATTTATTTTTCACCCATGTTTTTAAGATATATGTGAAAACAAAAAAGAAAAAGCTTCACATATGATTCAAACTCTCTCCATGGGGCAGGGTATGGTCCAATTAAGACCAACTGCTTTAAACACTACGCTACGAAGTATATCCATTATCGACGTCTGTCAGTGTGATTGTTGAAGCATACATTTTTTCAGAAATTCTCGATTCTCATATAGAATGGGTTCAGATTACATTTTTTGGAAAAATGAAATAGATTTCACATTTACGTTTCCATCATTTAAGCATTCACGAAGAATGGAGACTTGACCCACTTGCAACGATATGTCAATCAAACCCGCCGAAAAATTTGAAATTTCAATATCTTTAAAACGAAATAAGATTTTTAATTAATTTTTGTGTGAAATGCTATTAAAATATATAAGTCGTAATATTATAGAGAAAATAATAACTTCAAATCTGTGTCCAAGTACCTTTAAAGTTTTAGGAGCAGGTCCATTTCCAAGGAACTATAAGCCCTACCTGGACCAAACTTGCATGGATGATGCATCTAGGGATGGACACTACCTGAATCTTGCTACGGATGCTGGATGTGACCTACATTTTCCAGATGAGTGACCAGGTTAAAGTTTTAGGAGTAGGTCCATTCCCAAGTAACTATAAGCCCTACCCAGACCAAACTTGCATGGATGATGCATGTAGGGTGGACACTACCAGACTTGCTTCGGATGCTGGATGTGACCTACATTTTCCAGATGAGTGACCAGGTTAAAGTTTTTGGAGAAGGTTTATTCCCAAGAAACTATAAGCCCTACCCAGACCAAACTTGCATGGATGATGCATCTAGGGATGGACACTACCAGACTTGCTTCGGATGCTGGATGTGACCTACATTTTCCAGATGAGTGACCAGGTTAAAGTTTTTGGAGAAGGTCCATTACTACGGAAATAGAACTAAGGTACTATAAGCCCTACCCAGACCAAACTTGCATGGATGATGCATCTAGGGATGGACACTACCAGACTTGCTTCGGATGCTGGATGTGACCTACATTTTCCAGATGAGTGACCAGGTTAAAGTTTTTGGAGCAGGTCCATTCCGAAATAACTATAAGTCCTACCCAGACCAAACTTGCATGGATGATTCATCTAAGGATGGGCTAACGAAACTTGCTTCGGATGCTGGATCTGACCCACATTTTCCAAACGAGTGATGAGGTTAATGTTTTTGGTACAGGACAATCCCCAATGAATTTTAAGACCTATTTAAACAGAACTTGCTTGAATATTGTTGTCAGAATAAAAACCAAGTGTTAAGAAAATATGATGAGATTTGCATTACCTAAACTGATAACATTCATCGAGGTGAGCTTCATAATCTTTGATTACCTATGTTTTATAGCTCTATTAAATCCATTTTCCACTAAATATGCTTAACTGTCAACTTTGAAATAAAGATTATCAAATGATAAGTCGTTCAGTAATATAAAATAATAATTTCTTTTGAAGATGACATTACTGAGAACATGATTTTAGAAAAATATAAATTTTTTGTGAATTTTGAAAATTGAGAAACATTTTGTCTCATAGCGGGGGATTGTCCACACCTTGTACGCCCTCTTTCTCTTTAACTTTAATTATCCTAATTAAATTTTACTTCGCACAAGTGAATTTTGACTGGACAAAAGTTGTGTATGAAATATGAATCAATTAAATTTTTTTTATTTAAGATAGCAAAAAAAATTTTTTTTTGAATATTCCTGTAGATAATGCAGATAATGAACGTAGGATATTATAATAAGACTTTAAAAAAAATTAAAATGTTGGGGGGGGGGAGTCACTGTCAGGCCTTAAAAATTTAGGCCTGCAAAAGAAATATTTTTGTATAGCATTGTTGTGATTTTCTTTTATTGTAGAAATTTTGATAAATCTTAAAAATGAAAGAAATATTTTAGATCTTAAATTTATCAAAAGAGGATGAAAAAAACAGGGTCTGCACTGTTAATTATATCAAGGGTTGGTCAGGAAAGCTGAAACATAATATTTTTCAAAGCCTAACAATTTTATAAACAAGTACTTTGTATGGTAATCCATATCTAACACATTGAGGATTAGGCCTGATAAGTTTGTTAGCTTTAACACGTGCTTCATGATCAGTTGTTTCCTTTTACAGGCAAGTACTCGTGTGTTTGTTTACATGGCGACAGAAAGCCACAAGAAAGGAAAGCAAATTTACAGAAGTTTAAGGTAATGAAAATAGGAGTGTGAATGCGTGAAACAGATATGATAGGTATTATATGCTAGTCTAGAGTACGTACATTTACAGCAAAACATGCCTATAGTGAACATCCCTACGAAGTGAGTGCTTACAGCGAAGTTAATTTCATTCCCCACGACTTTGAATTGTAAGCTTAATGGATATAATGAATTGAGCTTATATTGAAGCAGAACCATCCGTCCTGGGTGCTTCATTATTAATAATAATAATTAATGATAATGAGGCTGTTAGGCCAAAGGCAGACAAAACGCATTTTGCCCGAGAACATAGTTAATAAATGTTTTGTTTTACCTTTCATATTATTGTTTTTGGACATATATGTATTTTGTACTGTCTTCCGTGATGTAACCTCAGGTCCATCACTTTTGAACACCAACGAATGAAAATGTGATTAAGCTCTGCCCATTTTGTGACGTAAGCAGTCCAACATCTCATTCGACCAGTCCAACATCTCAGCGGTCCAATATCGATTTTTTTTATGCACGCTCAGCAAAACATTAGAAATGTTAGACTTTTTTCGTATTGATTTGTATTAGGAACAAATTTTTAAAGGTATATCAATATGTTTTACTGTATATAGGCATTAGAGAATTCTCTTTATGTAATTAATTGTAGCACAAGGCGAGTGACAAAACATATCTGTATAAGCAAGTGTCCATTGTATTTGTATATTTTGCATTCACAATCTTCTTGGGCAAACCAAGTATGATCCAAAGAGATTGCTAGGATCTTAATAAAAAGCTTGTATGTTACATTGAGCAAGGTTATTTTTAGCAGACTTCTGAAATTTTTGGGAAGCAGTTTATCTACCATAGATCACTAAATTTTTGGGACACCTTAATTTCATGAGATAGTCAATAACTCTTTAAAAGTGAGACAAAATTTTCATGAAATGTGGATAATATTGATTTACATAATCCTAAGGAATACTTAAGGATGTACAACACACCTACCTCCAAAAATTCCTGTCGTTTAATTTTCGTTATTTTTGTTTACATAGTACATGACTATACCTACTGCATGTATGCATATTTTGGACAAAATCGTTCGAGTGGTTTTTGGACAGGAACTTCCGAAAGTTACCCCCCTTTAGTTGTTTACAAGGAGAGAAAATTTTTAATCAATGAACTACTTAAACCTTGATTTTCAAAAAAACCAGGTTAGATATAAATGTCAAATTTCATTGGCTTATTCCTTAAACCATTTAACACAAAAACATAGTCATCTTTTTGATATACATATCATCAAAACAATTTTTAAAGACCTTAAACTGAAAAACTATGAATTTTCTAAGCCTTGAAAATTGCGTATTTTTCAAATTCAAAATTTTTTTGTGAAAAAACCTGTCGTTTAATTTTTGTTAAAAAACTTTCTTTAGGTAGCTGATAGTAAAAATAATCTTCATAATTTTTTAAATAATTTTTGAACGACCAGTTTTGATTTAATAGTGGAAAATTACCCCCCTCCCCCTTTCTCAATAAATCACGTTCCCGCACGTCTTACAGACGGGGTCGATCATTTTGTTATATGAATCTACAAATACACATTAAAAATAATTAAATTGGAATATTGCTTTTGTTTAAAAAATATATTAACTTACAAAATTTAAAAGTTCTAATATGTAAAGCGTATTTAAATGTAGATTTTTAGACAATTTTTGAATACCCCTATCACCCCCAACCCTTCCTTTTTTGCGTCGCAGACCATTATCGTTTGACGAAACGTCGTTTACGGTGCAAATATACTGGTATTTTGTCAAGAATCCCGGAGGTATGCATTCGTTTTTAAATTCATGAATGCAGAATAGATATTGACTACTCTTTTTATATGTATCAGGAAAAATTTACTGAAAGATTTTAGTGTTTAGTCCATATACGTATGCGTTATGCATTCCATATCACATGAAACCTGGATACGAATTCAAGTTTTGTTGAACTTCAATATGTTGATTTTTAATTTTATTTCTTTAATTTCATTCAATAAGAAATGGTGTATGTTCAACTCTCCTGTGATATAAATGGAATAATTGTAGTTTCTTTCATGTCATTATTTCAAACGATACAGTATGTGGCCGTGGGGATACATCGACATTTGCATTAGGTGCACATACACCCCTCGTGATATTGTACGCATTTCTTTCAATGTCGTCGCTTCTAAAGTTAAAATGAAAATTCGGTATTCTTCCACATTAACTTCAAAATATCAAACATAAAACTCTTCATCTATTTCAATTTATATCAAATCGCACATTGATATTTTTTAAAATCTTATAGGCTACGTTTTGTTTTGATTCGAGGAAATGCGAACCGACATTGTTGACAGAAAGTCAAAGTTACGATTTGTTGCAATAGGATATTCATAAATGCAGATAATTTCAGTACAAGTGAACAACTCTTTTCAATTCTATACTTACATTGTGTATATGAGGTCTATAGTATTCAATTCTCGGATTTATCAGGTCTTGCTCTAAATGTATCTGATTCTGTGGAAAACCGTAAATAAAGGGAGGAAAATAAACATCTACATTTTCAGAGTTGTTCCTCTTTGATCAGTAAGGGGCTGAGAACAACATCGTCTTTACATTGTAAAAAGTTTTTTTTGTTTATTTAAATTGTTGTTCTATTTAATTAAAGAAGAAAAACAATATTTATATCGTGTATGCACAAATTGTAATGAAGACCATTAATCGGAATGTTATATCGCCAATTGTACATAATGAGAATTTCGGCAATGTAAAATAAAATTTTCAGAATAAAAAAAATGCTGCGCTTTGATCAAAAATACAATTTATTGTATATGAAATGAAATGAAATAAACATTTAGGGATGGTATTTAACTATTTTATGTCTTGCTTTTTACGGAGTTTAATCGGATTAATTAAAAAAATACTTAGTGATTGAGTATGGTACGCATAATCACAGCCAAGCCCCATATCTCAATTTTCTTTCATGATTGATATACATCGGGATCGTTTTACTCGTCGTTTTGACGCTTTATTTTTGACGTTAAATTTGACGTCACGTCAAACGTTCAATTGAAATCGCAAGAGTTATCTCCCCCAGTGTGTTGTACGTCTTTAAATATGTGAGAATGAAAGTTTCATGAGAACATTGTCTTGCACAATTACGCGAAAATAAAGTTCTCACGAATAAAAAGTGACATACATTATCATTGAATTGAAAAAAAACTTCTATAGATCCCTTACAGTTTGTATTATACTCAGGTGACTGATGAGGCCCTGTGGCCTATATTTAAAAAAAATTATGAGGGAAATGGAAAATTTCTTGTTATAAATGTATTTTCCAAGCAACCCTGATTGTAATATTTTACAGCTCTGTTTGTGAAAAGATGCTAATATGGGCTTTACATTAACAGGTCAGGTACATCACATTCCTTATATGGAATTGAATGAGTCACAAAGCATGAAAGTCTACTACATGTTTTACAATTTGATGGCAACACATGGTTTTCATGTGTCTATTGCATACTATTTACATAATTGTCACTTGAAAATCCGTAGTGCTTTTTTTTTACTTTATAAGGCCGAAATTGAAAGATTATATTCCAAAGACACTGCTCCATGCTCACTTTTAATATTGAGGTTGTTTTAGATGATTATTAGTTGCTTCTAATACAATACAAATGCTTTGACGTTTGCATGTACATTCATGAAAACATTTTTGTGGTATTGAGGGGTACGCAACATGATAATTGTGCACTCTGTATACTGCTTTCTAAAACTGTGTATGTGTACATAATGTGGAAAAAAACACTCAGTGCTTTATCGACATGATAGCACCTACACTGCTTTGAGCAAAGATTTAGACCGATATACAGTGGCTGCAACGTTATTGTTGACAACTTACATGAATGATCATGTTACACGAATGATTCCGCACGATTAACGCACGATTAAACCTGTTACACGAACGATCGTTCATGCACACAATTCTACACGTTACAGGATCTTACACGATTGCTAACGCAACGCACGATTCTTCACTCAAAATAGTTCAAAATCTTTAGGAATCGATATTATCAAAACGAAATACGGCTTAATATTAATTTAAGATTTTAAAGAATTATCAATATTATTTCATAGACTTTGAAAAAAAACGGATATTGATATTTCTGCATGTAGGTAAATACCTGTAAGACTTAATATTTTAGAATATAAATAATTATTTCTAAGGTAATTCTCAGACCTAAGAAAATGTTGTTGTTTTTTTCTATCAGAAGATGTACATGTATGTGCGTCGCATAATTTGATTGAATATTGGATTTCATGATAATTATGCAAAAACAGGGATACGATTGAAAAAAAAAAATGGCAGCATGGAATGACTTAAATTACAAATTATATCCGTATGTATTCATTGATTCACTGTCCGTGAATCTCTAAAAATGAACTTGTCAATTATTTATCTTTTTTTATTCGCAGAAATTTAAAATTAATTAATTAAAAATAAGCTAAAGAGATAAACACAGATAATCAAAACCCCCAAAAATCATGTCGTGTGCATGTATATTTGTCGACTAAATATTTATGTAAGCATTGAGAAATGTTTATTTATTTGTAAAAACAAATATTTATTTTCGATGTATTGATTTCAAAATTATCTTGACCACAATTAGTTGTAAATAAAAAATAAAAATCAGATTTTTATTAAGAGCGTTAAAGATCTAAGTACGGTTTATCACAATATTAACCGCGCTTTTTGAAGAGAACTTAATATTGTACAACTTACTATATAACTTGTTTACGGGCGATAATTAGTTCGTTCTGCATTCTATTATGTAAATTGCGCTTCACTCATTTTATTTGGATTTAAATAAATAAATTTTAAAAAACAAGGGAAATGCTTATCTTACAAATAACATTCCGATTGAAACTTACAAAACGAAATTTACACGATTCTAAATGCACGATCTCGCATGATTAAAAACGCAAACGATTGAATCTGATACACGCATGATCTCGCACATTACACGAACGATCACGCACGATATGCGAACGATTCTACACGATTGGTTTGTCAACAATTACGTTGCAGCCACTGTATTCAAAGGTGATATAAGGCTTCATAAAGCAAATTTTACAAGATTAGTTTGAAAATGTACGATTGTATATTTTCAATATTGCTTTCATAAATCTCGAGAATGAATTGAAAGTCAGTTTCCAAGGGACAATTAAAGTTGCCCTTTATTTTAAGGTCACCTGAGTCACTCAGGTGACTTATTCCTATCTGTTTTTGTCTGTCATGCGTTGACATTTAAATTTTTTCAGCTTCTTCTCTGAAACCAATATACAATTTTTTTGCCCCAGGGTCAGTGGTTCCTGTGGGTTGGGGTACTACTGGTTATATAGTGGCAATGCATTTTTTCTTTGTTCCTCAGATACCTCTGGGTATTGATTAACCAAAGTAAGCAATATGCTAAGCACATAATTATGATTATCAATGATGCTTCTTTCAAAATTATGAATTTCATGGCTCGTTTAAAACACAAACCAAATTCAATTGTTGGAAAGTTGTTGCATGATACTCAGGTGGCCTATAAGGCCCTGGGCCTCTTGTCAACACAACTGAATAGACCTTGATGCATTATGACACATTCGTCAGTGGGTAAAGTAAACAGCTAATTTACACTCAAATTTATACGGATGTCAGAAAATCCAGTGGTTTTGATCTGATTTTATATTGGTTCCTTTGAGGCACTGCTATTCATTATTTTAAAAAAAAACATGTCATTGTATTGATGATGGGAAATATTTGTGAAAAAAAAAAAAAAAAAAATGTTTGTTTTAGTATGCTTAAAATAAGAATGTCCAAAGTTAATTTTATGTTTAATATCACCCACAGGTACAGTTTTCAGAGAAAATGTCATTTGGAAAGATAATTCTTTACCTCCTGTTTGCTTTTACTTTGGGTATTACTAACTTAAAGTAAAAACAGCATTCCATAGTTAAATGAACAAGATTTAGTGCCCTTTAGGACCCATTTCTGTGACTTTTAAATAAAATATATTGTGAAAGTAACAGATATTGCAAAAAACAACATTAATTTAATGATGGAGCAAAATTGTCAGTCCTTGGTACTTCTTATAAGTATTTTACTTTTACAATATTAAGTCGTTATACCTTCATGAGCTTTTCAGAAATTAAATACAGTATTAATTAAGACCTATGGTATTTTTTTTTCAAACAGGATAATAAAGTGAAGTACCTGATCTGTACAGATGTAGCAGCTAGGGGCATTGACATCAGTGGTTTACCATACGGTAGGGAAACGTTATGAAGTACATGTATTTAATCCTGCAATGGCAGATTAAGTTTTATTGTTTTTTTTTTAAATTTGTTTTAAGTTCAAATAAGTTAATATGTTTGATGTCTCTAACCTGTATTCAGTCATTGATCCTTTCAAACTGAAGACAACCATGCAGTGACATTGTCTTTTTTCAATGTTATATTCTTTATAAACCATTTTTCCCTATTGTTTTTTTTTTACCTTGGTGAGTTTTGCAAGGGTAAAGGATTCATCAAAGATTGTTGATGTGAGAGTACAATTTGAAAAGAAAATTGAAACATAGTTGAAAGTCATTATCTAGAACTTTGTCATCCCAAATACCGTGGATATGATGAAGCGAATTATATGCCCTGAGCACTTTTTCTATATGAAGTTTCATTTTATTTATTTATATCGGAATTTATTTGAGATTTCAAAGTTTTTTTTCTTGGTCCCATTTGGTTCAAGATAACAAGTTTTGATTGTTAATATTGGTCTTCAGTTTGATTCATCTGAGCATCATATCCCATTAGCATCATCTTGGGCACCCTAAAATTTCTTGGATAAAAATATGCAACTGTATTACTATTATTGATAATTTGTAACTTGGTACAGGTTTCTTTCTTTTGAAATTATCATTATAATGGACACTGTCTGTTTCAGTTATTAATGTTACTCTCCCTGATGAGAAGCAGAACTACATCCATCGGATTGGAAGAGTTGGAAGAGCAGAAAGGTAAGGTGGATAAAAGTGCCATCTATTGATATTTCTGGTACATCCATTGATATTTCTGGTATATCCATTGGACTGGAAGAGCAGGAAGGTAAGGTGGATAAAAGTACCATCTATTGATATTTCTGGTACATCTATTGGTATTTCTGGTACATCCATCATATTGGAAGAGTTGGAAAAGTAGAAAGGTAAGGGATAATAAAGTGCCATCTATTAGTATTTCTGGTAACCAAGTGGCACATTCTTTGTTAGTGACAAGAACTTTAAGGCATATATAGTAGGTTAATATACAGCAAACCATATCTTCTCTACTCCTTAATTTCTGGGAGAAGGATGAATGTGATAATGATTATTTAGTACCCACCTATCTGTAACCTTTTTGTCACATGAATTGAGTGTTACAGAGAAGGCCATAGTGATAACTGCCTTAGAAACTTGTATTACTTGTGTGACCAATAAGGCCCAAGAACCTTTTAATTTGTTTTTTTTAAACAGCTGCCTCATCCATTGTGTAAATTTCTATATCAAAGCTTATTTACACCTTTGCCCACAAATTCATTAAAATTTTCATAAAAACAATTAAATAGATCATGCTTTGATGTAATCCTGCCATACTTTGTATGGGTGGGACTACATGAAAAATGTGTGAATTAAAGTGATGAAGGTTATTGTATTACATTAAGATAACACTTTGATAATACATTTATCTAATGTTATATATGTAAAATCTGCTAATTAAACCATCTGCCTATCTGTGCCAAGGTGGGTTAATGTCTTTGAGTCATCATTATATTACTGTCATACTATTTTGAATTCTATACTGTCATGAAAAATTAACTACTCTTTCAATTTTTTGCTTCATGTTAAATTATTTGTTAAACATGATGAACAAATTTAAAATAAACTTAAGGGTAAACGAAAAAAATTGATGCACGGATTAATAAATATTTTTTGACTGATTTTGATTTGAAATGACATATATAATGAATTTGTATTAAGAAATCATAAGTTTTCTTTGGTGCTTAGTGATAGGATACTGTGTTGCTTTCTATATAATTCTACACAAAATTGAGTTTTTAACCTTATATATGCAAAATCTTATAATTAATAAAACATTATTCAAGTTACCAATAAAAAGATTAATCTCTGAGAAATGCTGCCAATTTCTGAAAAAAAGTTTGACAGTATTTGTGTTACATATCGTCAACTAACATTAAGACCATGGCCAGCCTTAAAAAAAAAGAACCTTGTTCATGCATATTTGATGTCAAAATAAAATCTATTTCCATGACTGAATGATCTGTGGATTGGATTAAAATGCAATTTCTGTCATACATACAGAAGAATAATTGCTGAAGACAAGCCCAATGTCATGTTAGATGCATCACAAAAGATGAGATTTGTCCAAATTTATCTATGTTTTATCTTATGAGGAAAAATATAGCAACCTATTGTCAGTTTAATATCAATCTAATCGCCTGTTTAATAGAGTTTTTATAGTTTGTGTCAGTATCTACTGTTTTAATATAATTTTATCTATCTGTCAATGAAAGTGGAATCGTATTATGTATTATAATAATAATAAAAAATGGAAATAAACTGGGTTAGATTGGAAACAGATTTCATTTTAGTTTGAATTATTAGTGCTTAAATTTTCCTTAGGGTTGGACTTGACAAGAATAGTAAAAAAAAAAGTTTTAAAATCTAATCTTAAATTAAGCCAATTACAGTGGACCCTCATTTATCCGGACGCTTTGGTTCCCAGTCCATTTGTCCGGATATGTGAAGCATCCGGATATCTGAATCACCAATTAAACAAGACAACACAGCATTTAAAAATTTCGTTCCGATGAAAATCGTCCGGATACTGAAGCATCCAGATATCTGGCGTCCGGATATCTGAAGGTCCACTGTATAGATCTACTAAAAAGAATTGGTTTTAAAAGGTGTTCTTTTGAAAGTTGCTAAATATAAGTTACCATCTCATGAAAATTGTTATCTTGAACACCGATATCTCAATTATATGTGAAGTGCTTTGTCAATCCCAATAAATTTTTTTTTCACCTTTTTATCTCGAATCATGCATATATTTTATTAAATTGAATGTTATATCAATCCATTTGAATTTGAGTTAAGAAAGTTTGACTGTACCTTAGCCTAAGTCTAAAAGAACTACGAACTCTAACTCTTGATTCCCGCCTACATTTTGCACCCATTAAATTCAATTTTAATGGCAATTTGGCCATTAAATCTTTGTTTAATACAAAGAACAGTTCTATGGTAATTGATTAATCATTTTATTTCACGAGATAGTAAATTATCATTAATTCCAGCTCTTGAAAAAGGGGGGTAGGCGATATTTTGTGGTAAAATCGAACTTTCAAGAATCGCCATATTTTGAAATAGTCTTAAATATCATAAAATGTATCTCATATCTTTTATTATGTTTTACGCAAATAAATTAAACATATTTAGATAAATAAATTTCAATTATTTAGTTGTAAATAGCTTTAAAGTTGGTGAAAAATCAACATTTTTTCCGTTTTTTGTCTATAAACATATGTTCTCCCCGTGAAACACAAAAAGCTTTGGCATGAATTTGTAAATTGAGAGTCCATATTACCTGTAAAAAGGAATTTTTGTTTCACGGGGGTGGGGGGGGGGAAGATGTTTTAAAAATATTTTCTGTTTTCCTTTGATTTCTATAGTGAAAAACACAAGTTTAACCAAAATTATAGAACTATCTCTCTTTGGTATCCCAAATAAGTAACGTTTTATGAAAATTCATATAAATATCTATAAAAATATCGAAAATCATTCGAATATGTTAACTTTTGAGAATTGACTTAGAGGTAGGCGGGAGAACAATACTATCGTTCGTGGTTCTTTAACTTAGCATTTTAAAACCTTGGTCTATAATTTTTTTTATGTTTCATGTGATAACTTGTTGCTTTCTTTTATTTATAGAATGGGTCTTGCAGATCTCTAGTCTCTACAGTGAAAGAGAAGGTAAGATATATACTGCTGACTGTTGTAAATATGTAAACTTCAGCTTCGATCTTTTAAATGATTGAATCACTTATATTCAACTATGTTCATTATACAGTTTAATACTTAAACTTTAAAAATTCCTCATAAAAGGTCAAAAATAAGTTCTCTGTCTGTCTGTTGTTTATCTTGCTGTCTGTTGTTCCACAAACAAGTTCCATTCATTTTCTTCGCATAGGTTGCACATGCTGAAATATTCACATTTGCAAATATTTTTCTCAGATGAACCTATTAAAGAGAAAACATGTTCAATTCTGTATGTGCTTATTTGAGGGTCAGAGGTCATAGCATGTTCGAACCACGTGGCAAGAAAATAACTTGATTACATATATTTCTGTATGGTTTCGGAACTACCAAGTTAAAAGCGATGAAAAAGATAAATTAATTGAAATCTATAGATATTTTTCATTCAACAGATATTTAATAAATTTTTCTTTGGTGTGAAGAATGTCTTAAATACTATAATTTTAAACCTAAAATCACACTTACCTTTTTAACCTGAAATTATTTGAATTTAAACTAAAACAGGAGATATCACAGATTTTGACTTCAAATATTAAGAACGCATAAAATAGTTAAGATTATTCTCAGTAGGGGTCACTGTTC